CGGGGGGGGGCGAGGAGGAGCAGCTCGCGGCGAGCGGGCGACGCCGCCAGCGACCGGGGCGTGCTGGCGCGGCCGAGCAGGAACCAGGAGCTGCCGCGGCTGCTGGCGGAGGGAGGGGTGGAGCTCCGCGTGGCCGTGAACCCGCCGGGGGCGAGCAACAACGTGCTGGTGCCGGAAACGGAGGTGGTGGTGGAGTTCGACAACGACGGCGAAGCGGTCGAGGTGTGTGTGTGTGTGTTTTTTTTATTTTATTGGCATTGACCCCCGCTATTACCGGCTGGCCAATGAAAAGACGTCAGTTTTGTAGAGGGATAAAAAACGTGGAACACTCTTTCTGGTCCCAACAACAGTAGATACCTTGGTAGAGAAACAGAGGTCTTCCACGTGTGTACCAGCTCTCTCCCTCTAGAGTACGTGCTCCCTAAGCGTGTGCACCACGTTGTTGTCCCCTCGATCACGCCTTGCCATCGCACTCTTCCTACTGACGTAGGTACGATCGTTCATTACGCCCCACTTTGCTTACCACACGCCTGGCATGTATCCCAACTGTTCCTACTCAAAGGAGGATGCTCGTAACGGCGGAGGGGGCTCCGTGTCGTGGTCCAAGAAGTACCACGCCGTCCGCCTCCACGACGCCTCCACCGGGGAGGTGCTTGTCCCGAGCCAGAGGCAGGGCATCAGCGTCGTCTACGAGATCTGGCGCGGCCAGCAGCTGGTCGAGTTCACGCCGTGCGACGTCCCGTTCGACAAGAACGGCGTATACTTCTTCACCGCACCCAAGTTCCACCGCACGGGCAGGTTCCGCCTCGTGTTCCACGTGGTGCCGGCGCAGTTCTACGCCGCCCCGCAGCCCGGGGACGAAGGGGCGGCCACCGCGGAGAAGAAGAAGGGCTTCAACATCAAGCCCCTTGAGTTTCACGTGCAGGTGCGGTGCGGTGTGGTGCGGCGGGGATTGCCTGCTGCTCGGAGGGGGAGGGGGGGGGGGGGGGGGGGCCCCGCC